TATGTCTGGCAAGTTATACCATCTAAGAAGCAATTGATAGTTGTATGTCACACATACACAGTGTGTATCCCCACATGTGTAGATAAAAATAGTGTGATAAAAATCACTTGAAATATTTTAAGCAAACCGTGGGTTAGTGCTCATTTTTCATCCACTTGGCTATGATTATTATGTCCCATAATGTATTGAAGATCATTTTAGTCTACTTTTCTATTTTAAAATGAAGAAGCTGGAAAAGGTTCCTCATATATAATGTATGAATGGAAAACCATAATTACAACATGAGCATTGTGTAACCATACATAACAAAGATCATTTTGATCTACTTTTCCATTCTCCACATGAAATAATAGAGGAGATGAATTTATCACGCTACCTATTATAGCAGCAAGTTTGTGAAGTCCAATGCATGAATTACTTCTGTGAAGATTAAAAACTACGGGGAGGATAAGAAATTAAATGGTCAAGTCAAAAGGGAATAAACTCCACACAAGTGAAGTAGTTAACCATCATCCAAGTACCTCAAAAAAGAAAATGCATATGGAAAAAGAATTGGCTCAGATCTAAACTATGGCAACCTAAGTTTATACACAAAGAAGTATAGTAATAATCTTATCCATCAGTACAAAGCAAACCAAACATGAGCTGACACAATCAGGTTTCTGACTGCAGAAAGGTTCAGACATTCGCTTAATTGCTTTCCAGTGAACAGACTAATTGCCTCTTATACCTGAATAGACATTGTGAGCATCATTAAACCCACTTGGACAGCCAAATTATTAGGAGATCCATACACCTGGATGATCACCAAGAATATGTTAAATTATCATGTTATTTAAGTGATTCCATACTAAAGAGGACAGATAAACAGAGAAAGCATGTGTTGAAAATGTAAAGAAGGATGAACAAGAAAAATGCCTGTGATTTTCCTTTCATGACTTATACTTATCCATGAAACATTGTTTTTCAACTTATGAAAGATTTGCTTTACCAGAAAAGTCTGTCTGTAATTGGCAATACTGATCAGTTTAAATCGCCAAAGAGTTAAATGTAACCCCAGATGAGAACAATATGATTTATAATTAGAAAGTTAGTCACCATTCCAAGCAAATGGCTTACCTGATTTACCAAGGATCCACTACTTAAGCATGACTTACCTGTTTCAACAGTGGGGGTAAGTCGCGACGTCTTCTGGGGACCTCATTGTTTGCAACTGCATGGTCAATACCTCTGCATTTAGCAATAGAAGGGGTCAGTCAGCGACGACAGGATCAAACTAACTAGTAACAGCACATACTATGGATTGGCTATGTTGGATTTTCAAACATTTCAAGGCAAAACACAGCTCAAACAACCAATCATTTAGATTATTTGGCCTTGATTAAGTAAAGATCAGCCACATATCGACTAAATATGTCATGAACACAAACCTACGTGGCAAATATATGCTTTTGAGCAGGTTTTGCATTTGTGAAATAGATAAACTGGATGCATTAACTTTTCAAACAAAGATAAGTGCAGGTTTCAAACAAGTAGTCATTGTAACAGTTTTGCAGTTAGGTAAGATAAATCAATCATGCAGAGATTAAACAGAAACATAGATTAGTAAGTACATGCTTGTGAGTTGATGTTCTACATTTGAAATATATCCCTGATAATTTCATATGCCAAGTACCAGATCAGTTTACAAGAGAAATCCCCAAGTGTTAGTTGCTTTCCACTATCTTTGAAAATTTCTTTCCGTGTAATCAGCTGCTCACTCTCTCCCTCTCTCACACCACAAGCATCCTCCGCAGCTTCATACCCACAAGCACCCTCCATTCCAGAACCAAGAGAAGAAAAATAAAACAAAAAATGAAGAAGAAGAAAACCTGTTAAAACCTCCTAGCCAGCTTCATAGTGATTGAATAATCCTCTCATAAAGCTATATCGAATTAAAAATGAGAGCACTTTAGTTGTATAATAACAGGATAAGCACGTGAAGATATCAAAGCCACCATCAATTTGTTAATAGATATCAAGAACTAAAACATTCACGTATCTGAGATACCTCATGACAATAAAATCCCACATTCAATTCCATGAAATAAAAAGCAAAATTGAAAAAAAAAGAAAAAAAGAAAGAGTAATCAACTGTGTTCATGATCACGAAGCAAGAGTAGCAGTTACAAAGCAAGGAAAGGAGAGAAGCGAGAGACAGACTTGGCCAAGGAGAAGCAGAGGTCGGCTAGTAGAGGAGGATTGTTGAGGAGAACCCCAGCATCCAAATGCATGGACATCAAGTCCACAACCTTAGCTACCAGGATCGACGCTGCCCCATCCCTGCCATCCGGCAAGGCTTTCACCACCCTGCTGCTGCAGGTGGTGGTGGTGGAAGGTCCCCCTGTGCAAGGCTGCTGCTGCATCACTCCCCACTATTTCTCTGTCGCTCTGGATTATTAAGACTGCAATTTTTTTTCCCCTTTTTGGTTTAATTTTCTTGAACCCGGTCTGTTTGCGGCTGATGTATATCTGGTGTGGTGAGTGGTGGCAGAGCTGTTATGATTTGAATGAGGCGTTGGGTTTATGTGAATTCTGGGGACGGAGTCTGACAATCAAGGTAAGCAGTCCTTACCGTCCTTTTCGTCTTCTACAGACCATCGCCAGCAGAAAGCCAATGGTCAACTTCCTTCCCGTGCGTTACCTCTCTTTCGTCTTATCCTCCGACACACAACAAATATTAAGACACTAATACGTTTTCTAAAAGATAAGAGATTGTTTGAAATGTTTAGAATAATTACCGTGAACTTTTGTTGAATGTGATTCACAAGATAGAAGGGTTGTGTTAGAATCTAAATTATACAAAAGTATTGATGACTAACATACATTATTATTTTCCTGTTTTTATTTTTGTGAAGCACTTAGGTAGCCTTTTTTTTTATTGAAAAATTACTTAAGAGTGAAATTTGTTTTGGCAGCTATATATTTTGAGAAAAAGCTACAAAATATGATAGAAACAATTCATGATAAATATAAAGTGTCAAATTCCAATATGAGTCTTTCAAATTGAAAGCTAATGTAAATTATTTATCGTCTTGAAAGTTGTACATCGAGTCTAATTCTCTTGCTTTTCATGTCGAAATTAACCTAATAAGACAAACATATGTAGATGACTCTAAAGTGAGAGAAAATTCTTTTTAAAAAATGGATTATACGAGATACACAAATCATCTTTAAAGCATACAACTTATTGAAAAGTCCCTTTTATATTGTCAAGTTGGAAATAGTTAGTTACTAAGACCTAATTATGAGTTAGTACATGGGAAATTTTATAAGTAATTCTGATCCATGCAATAACAAACATTTTTTGGAATCCGTTGAACTTGAATTGGTATTTTCGCCGCCACAATTATTGTGAAGAGACATCTTCAATAATAAGTCTTGGACATTTCATTTGTAATAGAAAATGTGTGTATAAATAAAAATAGACCACACTTAAAATCGAGCCAAGTTGACTCCGTGGTAATACGATCAGCTAAGCCTTATTTGGCGAACCCAGGAGCTACCTCTGTTCACGGCCACTATGGGGAAATCCTATATGAAGGAGATATCCGGCTCTCCCGCTGGTTACTTTGCCTTGTCGTTTGGGTGTCCTTTTAAGTTAGATTCTTGGTGAACCTTGCTCGGATTCTGAGGATTGATCTCTCTCAGCAGGCCCAAATGTGCTCCCATTACTTTGGATCAGCTTTTGGAATCTTCCATTCCCACAATGCTCCACTAGTCAGAACGGGTCGCTTTTATGTTAATGTTTAACTCCAAAACCAAATTTTTTTTTTTCTTTTTGGTTACTGAGCAGTGAGTATTGATTGATAAATTGATATACAAATGAGCAACACCTGGTTAGCTTTAGCAAACGGTTTTCGAAGTAATGCAATTCGGAACATTGATAGCATAGCCATCTTCAAATATTTTTCTCCACCAAAAATATTATTGTTAAGATGAAATTGCTTTTGTCAAGAAAAAAATAATCAAAATAGTTCAATGGTAGTTTAATTCCCATTGATTCCTCTTTTTTCCAAACACGGAAAGAAACACACACATACACTTAATTACACTAAGCACGAGAGTTAACGGATAAATCGATCCGATAAACAAGCAGTATAAGGGAGACCCACAGAGCAACCCGATTCAGTCAATTGGTGACAGGACGGGCACCCCATGCACCTTATACTCAGGATGAAGACCCCACGATCTTCTGATGTGGGATGGAAGCCCAACGCCCCGTGCACACCCTCACCAAATATGGATTTGTTTTTTCCAGACACCGAAAGAAACACACATACACACTTAATTAGACTAAGGGGGACCCACAGAGCAACCCGATCCAGCCAATTGGTGATAGGACGGACACCCCATGGACCTTAAACCCAGGATGAAAACCCCACGATCTTTCGATTTGGGATAGAAGCTTCCATTGATTCCTCTTAACCTAGTTGAATTACCTCTCAGAATAGATTAAAATAAGAGTAAAGTAGATAGTGACGGTTGACAAAAAAAAAAAAATGCCCCATTAATGATATGAAATTGAACCGCTTCTTTATGAAGGATTTGTGTACCATTTCTTATCCTAATATTTATTAAATTGTAATATATTATTCACGAATATTCTATTTTAATTGATTTTATTGTCTTTTTAAATTCTAGAATTTAAAATATCACAGAATAAAAGGTAAAATTTAACTTAAAATAGACTTTTAATGAATTTTTGGTTATTCTTTAAATTTAAAATATGATATTTATGAAAAAACATATCACGATTTAATAAATATTGAGACAGAAAATAGTAGAAAAAGTGAGACGGAAGATTCTGTTCTCCACTTTCTGAAAAATTCTCTTGGTAGTGTGGCGGTACCGACCAATGGGACACGGACCCAAGAACGCGGATCACCCACACGTGCCATGTCCGCATCAAAATGGCTCTCTCAATCAAAGCTCTAAACTAGTACCAGCACGACATTGGAAACCAGCCACGCGTTTCCTCCAGCGATCATATCATATCCCACACACACACACACACACAGATATATATATATATATATAATATATCTGATGTGGTTGGCTGATATTTGATTAAGATTGGGTGATTGATTGCCGAAAGAAAGAAACAACATTAGAATTAGAAATAGAATCAGAATGGATTTGGTAGATAAGGCAAAGAATTTTGTAGCAGAAAAGGTGGCGAACATGCCGAAGCCGGAGGCCAGCGTTACCGACGTAGATCTTAAAGGAATTAGCCGGGAATGCATCACCTATCAGGCTAAGGTTTCCGTCAAGAATCCCTATAGCGTCCCCATTCCCATCTGCGAGATCTCTTACGTTCTCAAAAGCGCCACCAGGTTTTTTTTTTTTTTTTTTTAATTTTCTTGTTGAATAAATTACTTCTTCTTCTTCTTCTCTCTCTTCTATATATATATATTGTTACTGCTCTTCCGGGCGGGCGGTTGAATCATGTAGTACTAGTATGATGCAACTAACGTTTACCGATCCTACGGCTTTTTAACTTTTACAACTATTCTAAGTAGTATTTGGTGGTATATGCTACTTTGTTTATGAAAGTTATTTTTTTCAAAAAAAAATATGAACTTTGTTTAGAAAAGTTTTAGCAGTATCAGATTCCCACTTTTATTTTGTCATAGTACGTGTTAGTCAAATAGATGGCTGCCCCTTAGAACAGTCCTCGATGGTCTGAGAGGAGAGAAAAGGGAATTTTTCTTCAATCAATCAAGAAAGCCTTAATGTTTCTAATGTATTTATTTCTTTTGGCAAATTTTAATTACTAGACATTGAAAATTTCTGATTGATCAGGCATCTATCTAGTCAATTCAGATGTTAAAAAGTGCTACAGTACGTGTTGAGTGTTCTATGTGAACTTGGAATAATCCTGATGACTGGATTCAATTCAATTGCCTGATGTTTTTTGGGCTTGTTTGTTTTTGAAAGGGTGATCGCGTCTGGTAACATACCGGATCCAGGGTCGCTGAAGGGGGATGAGACGACCCTGTTGGAGGTTCCGGTGAAGGTGCCGCACAGCGTGCTGTTGAGTTTGGCCAGAGACATCGGGAGAGATTGGGACATCGATTACGAATTGGATCTTGGTCTCATCATCGACCTCCCTGTCATTGGAAACTTCACCATTCCCTTGTCTCAGAAGGGCGAAATCAAGCTCCCTACTTTCTCTGACTTGTTTGGTGGTGGTGGTAAATCCAAGGATGATGAAACTGCTGCTGCTGAATGCTGATGATAAGTGAAAGTGAAAGACCTGCTTCCAATATGATCAATAAAGCAGATAGATGCATCTGGGCTTGGCTGATAAGATGTTGCTATTATTAGTCAATAAATGGGATACTGATTTGTATTAGTTGCAGCTTATGATCCTTTGTCTTACAGTCGATGATGATACGTTATTTGTATTGGGAAGGCAACAAGATGGTGAAATTAGCGAGTAATCTTCCTATTCTCTGTACAATTGCCCTGGAACACTATCTTCTATACGAGCACCTGAACTTGCCAAGTCACCAAGCATGTTTTAATTTGCTGGATTGAATTCTTCCCTGCTTTCATATGAACATTGATTCTATGCTTTGGGCGCACATCGATTGTAAAGGCCACACCATTAACGTTATGAAGGTGCTGTGTACGCTTGGTTTGGTTAATTGCGCAGTGTAACAGAAAACAAAATCAAGCCATTATTATGAGTTCAAACTACTATTGGACACGGGATTAAAAGTAAGATTAATCTTTTATATGTTGACAGTGTATATATACACATATCTATATTAATATTTTATATGTTAACGGTGTATATATTGTCATTGTTAAATCCATGATACAAGTGCATTTAAATTTAAAATTTAACTTTTGCGAACGGTGTTTGGATGGTAGAATATTTTAATTTTTTGAAAAAAAAATACTGTGGTATTATTTTTATGTGATGTATATGAGATAAAAAAAAATGGTTGAATAACGTGGTGATGATATAAACAAATATATTTTGACTATTAATTCATTATCTACAAAAAGTGAGTGTATAATTAGTATATCTTCTTAGGTAAAAATAAGGGTATTAAACAAGCTTAAACACTCTACTCAAGTTTTTTTAAAAAATTTTTATGAGTATGAAATTGTGTTCAAATTTAAGTTATTTACAAGTATAAATAAGGATATAAACAAGCTCAAACGCTCTACTCAAGGATTTTTTTTTTGGAATTTTTTTGGTTTAAAAATCTGTTCAATTTTAACTTATTTATAAAAATAATATGCTCAAACACTCTACTCAAGGTTTTTATTTAAGTTTATGTTCAATTTTAACTTATTTGTACTATTTATGAACCCAAATTCCAACCAACGTGGCTCGAAACGTCTCTCGTTACACGGTGCCATTTAATTCCGTCGTGTTAAGTCGCTTCCATTACTGCTTCTGAAGTCCAGATCCAGTTTCGACCTGTGAGCTGCGAGTTGCGAGGGGTCCAATACAGGCTTAATTTCTATATTTCATTTGACTTCTCAGTCTCAAATTCTGGGACATTTTATCTACCAATTATTTTATTTATTTTTTTATTAAAATCAGCTAAATCCAGCGCCATCACTGATCTTACTCTCCAGTCTCCGGTGCTATTTGCAGTACATCTTTTCACCGGAAAATTGAAATTAAAAGTTAAAAAAAAAAATCAAAAGGTAGAAGAAGATGGCGAACACGGCGTGCTTTATGATAGTCAGCAAGAACGACATCCCAATCTACGAAGCTGAAGTCGGCGCCGCTCCCAGGGTACTCTACTGTGTCCTATTACCTTTTTTCTCTCTCTCTCTCTCTCTCTCTCTCTCTCTCTCTCTCTCTCTCTCTCTCCTCTCTGTGGCACCGCAATCTCAAAACTTCGCATAATTCTTGTACAATTTACTTTGGCAATCTGGAATAGCTTCGTCGTTGATAGTCATGAAATTTAATTCGATTTTTTTTAAAGATCCTGGTTATAATCGCCTGACATTTTTTCAATTATGGTAGAAAGAGGATGCGGCACATCAGCACCAGTTTATTTTACATGCCGCGTTGGACATTGTCCAAGACCTAGCCTGGACTACCAGTGCCATGTGAGAGATCACATTACAGTTTTTTGGTTTCTCTTTTAGTCGATTGAAATTAGGATCGTCTTTTTTTTTTTTTGGTTTAAATTTGTCATGTTTTTGTACTTAAATTTTGCGGCAGGTTTCTGAAAGGAATAGATAGGTTCAATGATCTGGTGGTTTCAGTATACGTGACTGCTGGTCATATCCTACAATTTGTTTTTATTTTTTGCCATTTAAGCTCGAGTTTTAGTGGTTTTAATATATGGAACAGAATTAGATGTTGATTTATCCTTCAATAAGCCATACAAGTATTGCTGAGTAAAGTAAGATTCTCTATAGTAATTTTCCCACAATAGAAGTGGATGTCATTCGATTTTGCAATGCCATAGGATTTATTGGAAACCTTTTTGCTAGTTCTGGATTGAAAATTTCTTAGCCTCTCAAAAAACTAGACTAAAACGAACCTTCTTTGCTCGTTTTTTTGGCCATTTTTGCTGGAAATCTAGTTTAGCAGAGGCTGCTCTCAAGTCTGCTGATACTACAAAATTTGCTGTCAGCTCTGGATAACTTTGGCCCCGATTGATTTGTATTTGGACGTACAAACTCTTGCAATGACCAATTTTGTTGGAAGACTGGTTTATGGATGAGCTTACTTTACATGCGTATGTGATCTGTGCACTTTTTACAGCCTCAGTGATGTTTTCTTTGATATCTGATCAGTTCGTACTATAGTCTAGTTTCATATGTACAGCCTTGTGTTGCCAAAACTTAGTGATTCTTCCATGGTTTAATTCCCATTGGAAGTTCTCTCTTATGCAATAGTCATTTTTGCTGTTTCCCTTAATTCTTACATTTTGCAACCATTGGAGATTCCATTCGAACTTTTATATCAGAAGCACTGAATGCCTATTAACCTTGATTTTTTTATTTATAATTTCTAGTTGGGCACAATATCCAATTTGCTTGTGTTGTCTTCACAAATTTGTTTTGATTTGGGTGTTTGAACTGAATTTTGTATAATACCATGAGTATTGTTTCTTTGACCTAAAAGATTACATACTCGACTGATGCTGCTTCACGACTCTCGTAATGATGATGGAATCAAAAGCTTCTTCCAAGAGGTTCATGAGCTATATATTAAGGTATAAAAGTCTTCTTCGTAGTATATATAATGCCACTCTGTCCAGCTTGGATGCTACTATAGTTCTGGATCCTAATTTATATCTGCATACTGTTCTCCTGTTGGCAATTATTTAATGCAAATGAAACCAAAATGGTGATTCACCAATCAAGTTCAATGTACTTGCCCAGAATGAGAATTATTAGTGGTTTGGGAATCATCAGTTTGCTTGTTGAAATGTAATCTGTCATGTTTTGACCTTTGAGTTTATAAGATTGTGTACAATCTCACTGTCATGGTTGTTCGCCATTTGTCCAGTTTGAATCTATTTAATGGTTTTTAGCCTTCAAAACAGTGTTTTTGACCTTCATGGATGCCCATATGCTGGTCTGTTGTTGACACAGGGCAAGAAATTAATGGAACTTGAATTCAATTTCACAAACTAAGGATGCAGCCTTTACACTGAGCTCAAATGCTGTGGTCTCTTTCCCTTTCTAGAGTTCTTATCCCAGAATTCTAACCAGTGCCTTTCCTACCCTCCTAAACTCGATCTGTTTGCATACTGTTTTTACAACACAATGAACGGACAAGATTACAATATTGTGGGTGCTATGTGCATGATCATGTGTTTTGCACACACACACAGAGACAGACAGATTTGGTTTACTTTTTAGTTGAAGGATTGCAGATTATGATGGCTCTGCAGCAGGTATTTTCATACTGCTACTTTGAGTTCAAGTTTATCCATGAATTATAAGTGTAGGTTATGTGAGGAATAGCTGATGTACTTATGTAGATATGTTCTGAGAGAAGGGAAAAGGAAAGTTCAGAGGGCAAAACAGTTTGAAACTTGCAAACTTCTGCTCACATTCAAATTCATGTGCAACTTCAACTGGAAAAAAGGGGGGAAGGAAGAAGAAGCATATTTTAGGTACTCAAGGGCAAAACAGATTGACTCTACTAGAAGATTTTCCAAAACCCGTAAGGACCTATTTTGAGTGCTAACCCTGTAAGGCCTGATTTGTGGCATCAAGAAATAAGAAGCTTCAAAATTCTAGATTGAAAAGTTTTACTACCTGTCAATTGCAATGCATGCCCTAGTTTTCCTCTCCTGAGCTGGTGAACATACACTACGTGGAAATCAAAACTTAATACAGGCTGGAAAGTCAAAAAATGGAGCTTTTGAAACAAAAAGTTTTCTACCTATAAATGATGGTTCAGCCCCTATCCGTTGTAGTTGTGTTGTCTGCATCCATACACTTGGAAACAGTGGAAGTAGCTGAAATTATAATCGAACAAAATAAAGTCGTAGTTATTTGCAATATTTTATTGTAATGTACTTTAATTGGGAAATCTTTGTTGCAAGAAGCTGCCTGGAGGCCAAATGCTTGCATGTGGTTTTTTTTTTTTTTGGTGCTTGCTGTGCTGTGCTGAACTACTCTGTCACTGTGTAGAGACCAAGTTGTTTTTCTAGTAACACCAATAGCTGAATATGTTAAAAGACTTGTATAGGCACTCAACATATCTGATTTTCTCATGCTGTAAAAGCATACATCTTGCTACTTTTTGATGAATTTTCGGCATTATTTTGTCTTCAGAGTTTTGTATGTCTCATGAACTTATAGATGGCACATGTAAAAATTTCAGACTCTCCTTAATCCACTTTATCTACCTGGATCTCGCATCACATCATCCCATTTTGATACAAAAGTTAGAGCCCTAGCGAGAAAGTACCTTTGAAGCTGTGTTCATGGGTTGGAGGCAAAATTTACCAGAGTTTCTTGCTCCAGAAGAGAAGGTTTTGGTTTTAAAGTTTCTTTGTGCATCTGAGAATCTAAAGCCAATTTTTTCTTTTGTAGCTAAAATGATTGATATCTTAGATGTCTATTGTAGCCAATGACAACATTGAAATATCTAAACTTTTGCTTACGTTAGTTCATGTTTGTTTTAGTAAACCTATGTATCAGCAGCCTAAAGCTTTCTGTTTGTTCAAACTATCAGCAACTCAAAGCACTTTCCGATAATAAGACACTGGAGCAATGCTTGGTTTTCTTTTTTATGTCTTCCTCAAGCCCGTGTCCACGCAAGCTGCAGGGGATAAAAAGGGGACAAGGTGTCTGCAGATTTTTGATGTATCGCCCTTGCGGACTTGGTTGTAGGAATGCATAACTTGTATAATTTCCATACATGGTGGAAAAAGTATGGTAACTTAATTTAGCTTAAATGATTGACTGGTGGATTAATCCACGAAAATATTGATCTTATTCCTTGGCCAACATGGTATATGTTCTGCTACAGGTTTTTTTTTTTTAAATTAAATTTTTTGGTTTCGAG